ACCCCAGCCCTGCTTCTCCTCCTTCCTCCAGAACTGTGAACTGGGTTTACAGGTCACATAGTGAGGAGCTGCACCGCCCACCCCTTCCCCGAGGTGAGGTAGGTCTGCAGTCCTCACACAAACAGAGATGAGAAGTTACTTGGCCCGTGCCATACCGCCTGCCTGGGGCCCACTTTAAATGCTCAGGCTGGCAATCCTCCTGCCTCTGACTCCTGAGGGCTGAGATGACAGGCACACACCAGCATGCTCAGCTGAAGCTGAGTAACTACCCACTTCGGACAGGTGTCACTCACCTGGGTGCAGCCCATGGGCAGTCCTCATCCAGTTCACCTATGAAGACATTCTCATAGTCCAGCGTGGACCCGTCTGAATTTGTGTCCAAGGCCTTGGGGCCCAGTGGCTGGCTGCTGTGCCTTGGATGGAAGTCTGTCACCTGTCTGGGGACATTGTGTGAACTCTGGTCTTTGCTGAGGCCCTGGATACTGGCTCCTTGGTGTCGCCGAAGTCTCCAGGCCAGCACAGATCCACTGACAACCATAGCCAGGAAGACGGTCCCTGCCACAAGGGCACCGATGATGCCTGGGGCCAAGCGGAGGGGACAGCTGGCCTGGAGGAAGGTGGAGAGGTTCCTTGGGGCTCCAGTGTCTGGGTGGAGACACAGCAGCTCCTGCTCTCCAGAGCAGTTATTCCAGCGAATGTCATGCCAAGAGGCCAGCCCACAGCTGCAGTCAGCCCTGAGCTCCAGGTCACAACGCAGGGCCAGCGACTGGTCCACAATGGCCAGAGGGTTGTGGGTGACAATCAGAGTTTGCAGCTTCCCCAGGTTGGCAAAGAAGACCCCGGGGAGTCCCTGCAACCCATTCCTAGACAGGTCCAGGACTTGCAGGTGGCTGGCCTGCAGGGGCTGGGTCCTCGGCAGGGACAGGCCAAGGCCGCTGAAATTGAGGCAGGTGTCATTGAATGTCTCGGTCCAGTCCACATTGCTTGGGGACACCATGCAGGTGAGATCTTGACTCCCAGACTCATGGAGCAGGGCCAATAGCAGCAGGAGACATGACCACAGCAACCTGGTCCTGGTGGCCCCCATTCTAGAAACCTGTGTGGGGACACGGGTGTCCGATGGCGATCTCACCCTGTGGTCTCCCCTTCTCTCCCTGTTCAGTTTAAATACTGTGGGTTTAAAAAAAAAACATTAATAATTCAAACCAGGCTAGAGGAGGTGGTGGCACACCTTTAATCCCGGCACTTGGCTGGCAGAGTTAGGTGGATCTCTGTGAGTTTGAGGCCAGCCTGCTCTACATAGTAAGACCCTGTCTCAAACCCAAATAAAATGCCCTCAACCAACTCAGGCTCTTCTGACATGGAAGCACATGGCCCCTGGTTGGCCCCTGGTTACATGTCTCTGGTCCCCAGGCCTCCATCTTCTGGTCTTTGAAATGGGTGCATTGGATGACTGCTGGAAGGCTAGACCACCCTCCCACACACCTGCCCAACTTCAGATCACCTGCAGCACTGTCATATGAAGACTGGTGATTGTGGACACCACCCAGCCCGGGTCCTGGCAACCTCTTCCCCACAGACCCTGGGTCTGCAGGGCAGACCCAGGAATTGCAGGAGCCCTTTCCATACAAGCTGCCCAGAGTGCCTGGGTCTCACCTTCTGGCCTTTGTGGTGTCGAAAGCCTCAGGAGGCCTAGAGTCTGGGTTGAGGTTCCCCTTGGCACCCAGGCCAAGCTGCTGAGACTGGTTTCCCTGCAGTTCTCCTCCACTTCTGGGCTCAAAGCCTGGGAGAAGAGGAACATGTATTGGAGTGGAGGGGGCAGCGTGGAGACCGGGCCTCTGCAGGCCTCAGGCTCTCACAGAGGAGGAGGGGCAGCTCTGCCCCACTTCTCTCTTGCTGGAAGCCAGTGACCTCACCCTGTGCGCCTCGTGCCCCCCCCCAACCCCGCAGCTTCCCCACCCGCTTCCTGACTTCTGCTTGGCTCTGCAAATATTCACTCAACAAACAATCACTACAAATGCCTCAGCCCTGCACAGGCACTAGGGGTTTTCTGGTCACAGGAAAGGACAGCTAGGCAGTGATACCCCCGTGGAGACAGGACAGGCCCAGAAAAAGGGACAGGGTCCTGCAAGGCATCCTAGAGGAGGCAGCATTAAAGTTGGGGCTTCAACATATGGCTAGGAGTTTGCTACAGTCCTGTGGCCTGAGGAGCAGCTGGCTAGGAGGAAGCCGAAAGAAGGAACTGGCAGTGAGGGCAGGGAGCAGAGGAGCTGGCCTGTCACAGGGCACAGGACCTGGTAGACAGGGGAGCCAGGCGGGCATGTGTGCCAGGGAACGGAGTGTGTCCAGGTGTGAGGACTGTGTGGCCTGGGTCTGTCAGTGGGACACTGACAGGAAGAGGAAGTGGTGAGGTACTGGAGTCGGCAACCAGCTCCTGTGGATTCTCCCCACTCAGCGGCAGGGGCAGGGGGACATGAAAAGCCCAGTGCTGCAGGGCGGGTGACAGGCTGGCCCAGGTCTGTAGGGAACGCTCAGCAGAGAGAGGCTGCTGCACCGTGTATTGGTGCCTGTCACACGATGCCCCATGAGGATGAATTCATGGCACTGAGTGACAGGTGTCAGACACAGTGACAAGAGCAAGCCCCACCCCAACCCCAGCAGCCTCAGATCTGCTGTGACCTTGGGGCTCTTCTTCTGCAAGTATCAAGGGCAGACGCCCAGCAAAGTGAGCGTGTGAAAGCTGCCATCTTCTTTATTGTTACTCCACTCACTTAATTTACTTGGGGGGTTTGTGCTGCAAGGGACACAGACCTCAGCGTGTGCAGGACTCTGCTCTCCCCTCCACCATGTCGTCTCTGCCTGTCAGGTGTGGTGGCACATGCCTTCTTGACAGCCCCAGTTTTGTTTCTGGGAGTCAGGGCCTCTCTGTGCAGCCCGCCCTGCTTTCTTCATTGGGCCCCTGTGTCCTGGGCTGACAGAGTGAGTCTGGTTGCACTGTCTTTTGTGTGTGTGCTGAGCACAATAAAAAGTAGATCAAGCCATGTGGTGGTACACGCCTTTAATCCCAGCCCTCGGGAGGCAGAGGCAGGCGGGTCTCTGTGAGTTTGAGGCCAGCCTGGTCTCCAGAGTGAGTTCCAGGACAGGCTCCAAAGCTACACAGAGAAACCCTGTCTCAAAAACAACAAACAAACAAACAAAAACCACAAAAACAAAAGAAGAAAAAAAGAAAGAAAAGGTAGATGGAGACAAGGAAGTGGGGTGCAGCTGATCCTCAGTTAGGAGACCAGGTGTGGTGCAAGCAGGGCCAGGCCACAAAAATCTCGTGTCACCACAGAGGTCACAGCTGTCCTCATCACCCTAGACCTTTAGGGTAGCCCAAAAACTACATATGCTCAGAGACATCCCAAAATATACAAATGGGGGCAGGGCGGGAGAAGTGAAGCAAGCTTGTTCCTAATTTGAACTAATAAAAAAAAATATCCAAATGCTCTCAGACAACCTTGAAAGCTTCAGAGATATTGGGAGACCTTCCAACCTCTCCAAATGCTAGTGACACACAGGCAAAAGACCCCTAGAGACAGTGACACAGATAAACATGGGGCCCTCAGCACCAAGGTCCCCCACAACTGAGCTCTGCTGTTCGACCTCCCCGTGAGCCACTGTGCGGCACCGGCCATGTCTGAATTGCTGTGCTGGGCATGCCCCCAGGACTCTAGCCTATGGGGTTAGTTGCCTCTGCTGCCTCTCCCTGCCAGGCTCTCTGACACCACAGATCTACACCACAGATCTGCCCACTCTTCCCACAGCCCTGCCTCTGGAGGTGCCCCAGGGCGCATACCCCAGGCCTCCTTCCTGTTGGCCATAGGGGCCATAAGGACTCTTTCAATGGGCACAGTCCATTCTTGTCCATGGCCAAGCAAAGACCTCAGTAAGTGACAGGTGATGTGGAAGGTAGCCAGGGACACCGAGAGCCAGGGGTCAGGTTGAGACTGGCAATCAAACTCTGGCTGGGTCCCATTGTGGGGCAGGCTCCCACTCTGTCCTGCAAACCCAGTTTGTGGTTCCCAGGGAGTTTAGAGGTAAAGGACTCTGAACTATGATTTTTATCTATTCAGCCAGTGTAGCTTAGATTGCCTCAGAACTGTCATCCTCCTGCCTCTGCCTCCCCCGTGTTCGGGGAGGAGCAGAACGGTGCAGCCACCCATGGTGGTATTTTGTACAGGGCAAGAGGGCCTCGTGTTCACGGATAAGCACTAGGGAAACCAGGACTGTGAGCAGCAGGGCTGTCTCTTCCTCTAGAAGAAGGGGTGCATACTTGTTTCCACTCAGAAAGCTGGGGATGGCGGTAGTCAATGTCCTGGGACCTGTGCTGTCTGTGCGGCAATCACTCTGGATTCCACAGACCTTT